TTTTAAGAAATGACAGAAATAGCTGGCTGCCTGGACAGTGGTCATCTTAGGTTCCTCAGTGATGTTGATATATCCAGCTTTGACCTGTAATTTTGGCCTGTAGGCCTAGATTATCTGACAGACATTTTTGAGAAACAGGAAATTATGAGTGACCATCCTACCCTGTCTTGGCAATGCCCAGCAGTTGCTTTTTTTGTGTTCTGTTTGTCCAGTTTGGACAGCATACTGTCAACAATTGAAGCAAGGGCAGCTTCTTGCCCAAATGGTTAGCTTTTGCCACAAAGACGATAAGCTCCATATAGAGGTACCTCAATGTCCAACATCCTTTTTTGAAGTAGAACAGTGCCACATAGAACAGATGTGTCTCCTTGTAAAGAAAAGCCTGATGTTATTAAAACATTTTAAATGCTATATTATGTAGGTCTTTAAAGTGTTTGAAGACCACCTATCTAAAATATATCTCTATAACCTTGAAAACATACCTAACATGACTATAAGTTTGATAGTTATGAATGATTATTAACTTGTATGTTTTTATTATCTTAAATAACTTTCAAGGGCTAAAACTTTACATTAAATGCGCTGTGTAGGTACAATATTTTAAAAAATAGAAACATACATATGGTATAACAAAAATAACCTTAAGTTTGTATCAATATACAAAAATATCTTAATAGAAGAAACATGCTGGGCAGTGGTGGTGCAAGCCTTTAATCCCAGCACTTGGGAGGCAGGGGACAGAAGTAGGTGGTTCTCCGGGAGTTTGAGGCCAACCAAGCAAATTCCAGTACAGCCAGTACTGCTACACAGAGAAACCCTGCCTCAAAAAAAAAAAAAAAAGAAAAGAAAAGAAAAGAAAGTTTTAAGCTGGAAAGATGGCTCAGTGGTTAAGAGCACTGGCTGTTCTTCTACAGGACCTGGACTCAATTCCTTGCATCCATGTGGCCGTCTGTAATTTCAGTTCCAGGCTACCCAATGCCCTCATACAGATATACGTGGAGGCAAAACACCAATGCACATAAATAAGAAAAGTTTTAAAATGTTGAAATAAATCCAAGGGACATGAAATTAGTAATATAATAGTCCCTAGATTTTGGTTTTCTTCTTTTTCATACCAGGTAGCTCTTCTGACATGAGACAGACTTTGGATTTTTTTTTTCTCAAGCATTCTTGAGTTTAGATGCCCACACTCCAACTCCAAAACCAGCTATAGTTTTTAAAAGGGACTACATAAAGACCATATACCTAACATGTCTTTAGAGAACAGCAAAAAAGCATTCTGAAAGATTTATGAAATTGTATCCTGTTAGAAGTGTACTATATATAGTATTAGGTCAAGTTACTTCTTTTCTTGGGACATTTTTTTCTGGATGATTCTCTCTTCTTCAGATGCTTCATTTGTCCAAAAGTATAGTGTCATTTCAATTGTATTTTAATAAATAAAAAACAGTCTCACTGGTCAGTCTTACAGACCAGGTTATGGTAACACACATCTTTAATTCCAGTAGCCATAAAGACAAGCACCTTTAATCCCAGTAGCCACACTAGTTGCCATAGAAACTGGATGGTACACGCCTTTAATCGCGGTGGTGAAAGTCTTTAATCCCAGCCCTAGAGAAGAGGAAACAGCTTTTAACACAGTCTCATTCTAAGATTCCTAGAGACAGGATTGCCATTTCAGTCTGAGGTCTAGGTAAGACAGAGGTCTTCAGATTGCTTAGTTGGATACTTTTATTCTCCTGAAAAGAGAAAAATAAAACCCTGCCCCAACCATGACTTTGGGAAGTTTTCCTTTTTGCCAGGTTGAATTGCCATGCTGTTTGATGCTGATTGACTCTCGAGGGGTCTCTCATGTTCAAATCAAATCTTTATCAATTTTGATGGTATCCATAGCTTTTCTTCTCCTGTGGAAACAAAAGCAAAACCACTTCCCCAGTGTAACACATATCCTGGTTTCTATTCTGTCGTCCACACATCTTTAAAGTATATAGGCTGATTTAGTTCAATGGTTTTTTCTTTTTTTTTTTTTTGTTCAATGTTTTTTTCTTTTTTTTTCCAATGGTTTTTTTCTATTCAATGTCTCTCTGTAGCTGTTGTTTTCTTTTTCATTAGCATTTTAAAATTTAAAGTTAATTAAGCAATGTGCAGTCTATCTCTAAGGGTCTTTATTACCCCTTTCTGTTTATTAAGCCTATCTTTTTAAGTGCGATTAGATTTTGCTATAACTGCTTCCTGTAGGATCGTTTGGTATACTTGTAATATGCTTTATGTTGTAATAATGAAAAAAAAACTCTTTAATTTTACTAGAGACATGCTGGAGCAATTGTCTGTCTTAATTTGTACAGGTACTTGGTTAATGGTCATTACCTCTAACAAGTGTGTGATTACAGAATCAGCCTTTTCTGAACTCATGCAGTTGCCCATTGAAATCCTGATTATGTATCTGTGGTATGGTGCACATACTTTGATTTTCCAAGCTCCGCAAAATGAAACATAGTCATTTGCCAAATTTCATTTTTTTGAGTACCCTTAGTACTTCATGCAGATAGTGGAATTTGTTATTCTGTTCTTAAGAACCCATTCTGTGGGAACCAAAAAGCTAGAGGTGTTGGTGGTAATGGTGCTTGTAGTAGTAAAATTGACAAATAAAATGTTTAGTCAGTGCCTGCTTACAAAGGCTATACATACACACATATTTTCCTGTTTGTATGAAGATGAAAAATCTGAAGAGATATTTGTGTGATTTAAATTTTTAAACTGTAATTGAAAAATATACAATGAAATTTACATTAACCATTTCTTTGTTTTGTTTTTTGAGACAGAGTCTCTGTACTTAGCCCCAGTAGTCCTAGAAATATCTGTGTAAACTAGGGTGTCCTTGAAATCAGAGAGATCATCCTGCCTCTGACTCCTGGGATTAAAGGCATACACTACCACACCCAACAACTATTTCTTCTCAATGTAATATTAATTGATTAATTATTGATTATTTGAGAATTTCTTTCATGCATACAATGTATTTTGATAATATTTACTTCCCGTCTCCCCTCGAATTCCTCCCAGGTTCAATCCTCACACTCTACCTCCTCCTAATTTAAGTCTTCTTTTTTAAAAAATAATCCCGAGTCCTATTTGCACCATCCATAAACTCAAGGGTATGGAGCCATGCCCTGGAGTATGATTTGACTTATCAGGGACCACACCCTTAATGAAAACCAAGTCTTCTTTCCTCAAAAGCCAGTAGCCCCCTTTCTAAAGGTGGGGCTTATGAGCCCTTTCCCCTTCTTGCTAGATTGATGACTGACTTGAACGTGTGAAGGTTTTGTGCAGGCAGCCACAGCTAATGAAAGTTCATGAATGTAGTGGTCATGTCATATCCAGGAGATACCATTTTGATTCAGTTCTTCCCAACTTGTAGCTCTTGTAATCTTTCTATCCCCTCTTTTAAGAAGAGTACCCAAATCTTAGAGGTAAGGAACATGATGTCCCATTGTGACTGAGGATTCCATAAACACTTATTTACATTTTGATCAATTGTGATTTCTGCTTAACCACCTACCACAAAGTCCTCTAGTGTGGACTAAGAACTTTACTGATCTATGGGTATAAAGATACAAATTTAGAGAGCAGTTTCATTCTATGTCCTCTTAGCAAAATAATAATAATATGTTCACCCCTGGGGCCTTTGAACTCCTGGGTCATGGGTTTGGGGCTAGATTTACAGTAGTAGGCATGAGTTTCCTCTTATGGAATTGGTCTTAAATTCACCCGGAAAGTGATTTGTTATCCCCATAACATGTGCACTACAATTGCACCCATGAATATACCTCACTGTGCTGTCCATTGTTGCAGCTCACAGGGTTTACAGCTGGTTAAGACTGTGGATGATTTTCTCCCCGATAAGTACACACAGCACCTTCTGGTACTGTGAGAACAAATTAGTCAGGTGGAAGCTTCCTGGTCAATACCTGCTTAATGTCTCCATGTCCTGTGATTAGAGTGTGCGGTATCTGTTTCTAAGTGTATATAGTTCAGGAATGTTAAATACATTTACACAGCTATGTAAACAGTCTCTAGAACCTTTTTATCATTCAAAAAGAAAGCACTAACCTCAGCAGTTTGATCTCTTTTCTCTCCCATACATATCAATCACTCTTCTACTTCCTGCCATTTTCAGTTTAACTGCCCACATATATATCCATAAGTGAAATTAATACTTTTGAAACTGGCTTATTTTGTTCAGTGTAATGCCCTTAATGATCATTTATGTTGTAGAATAATTACTTTTCTAATGGTTTAAAATTAAGTAACTTTGCAGTGCTAGGGATTGAACTCAAGACAAGTATTATGACATGGGGCTATGTCCTTAGCCCAAGAATGTCCTTTTAAAAGCCTTTTCTTGCTCTGAATTGGTGGCTCAGTGGTTAAGAGCACTGACTGTCTTCCAGAGGTCCTGATTCTACTCTCAGTGCCCATTTGATGGCTCACAACTCCAGTTTCAGGGGATCTGATACCCTCCTGATTTCTGTTGGCTCTGCATACATGGTGCCCATTCATGCAAACAAAACATACATTATATAAGACAAAATCCTTTTTCCTTTTTATGTCTGTCCAGCCATGTCCAGTTCATGGACCTAGGCTGTTTTTCATGCTAGGCTTGTGCAGTACTAAACCCAGGTCTTGTTGCATGCTATATGCATATCCTATCTATCAACCATATCCCTAGTCCCGCTGTTCTTATTTTTGGCAAACAAGAGTGATATGGCAGTAGATGTGGATGTACAAATTCTTCTTGAGATCTTGTTTTCTGTTCTATACGTGTTTTGAGTTTTTAAGAACAGATCTAGAAAGCAGACTAAATGCTGGAGGGTGGTACTGGATTAGGACTTTGACTTAATATTTCATATACTCAAAAATTTATAGTAGGCATTATGTCCTTTGTATGATTGATAAACTATGAAAAAACTAATTTTTGTATATTTGGTTTATGCAATATTTAGAAGTCAGAAGTCCCCTTACCACAGATACCTTCAGCTGTTGTGAAAACCTGTAAATGGAATCTGAAGCAGAATTCCTCCCCTAAAAATGTTTTCCAGGAATGTGCTGGGTAAGTGTTCTATGCTCGACCTTGCATATATTATGGGTATTTGAGTTTGTTGAGACATAGTCTTATAAAGCCCAGGTGGGCTTCAAACTCACTTTGTAAGCTAAAGTTAGTCTTGAATTTCTGCCTTCTGAAGTTCTAAGATGGTAAGCATGTATCATGTGCTAGAACTGGCTTATGTACGTAGTAGTATCTATTGGTAACTTGGTAACTCCAAGATAGAGGATGACAGAAAGTCTTTTTTTTAAATCTTTATTTTATACAAGTTAAGTTTTTTTTTTTTTTTTTTTTTCGAGACAGGGTTTCTCTGTGGTTTTGGAACCTGTCCTGGAACTAGCTCTTGTAGACCAGGCTGGTCTCGAACTCACAGAGATTCGCCTGCCTCTGCCTCCCAAGTGCTGGGATTAAAGGCATGTGCCACTACCGTCCAGCGTTTTGTTTTTTCTTAAGACGGAGTTTCCCTGTATAATAGTCCTTCCTGTCCTGGAGCTCAGAACATTCACACATGTATACATGCACCACTCCCTACCTCTTGCTCCCTCTCTCTCTCTCTCTCTCTCTCTCTCTCTCTCTCTCTCTCTCTCTCTCTCTCTCTCTCTCTCTCTCTCTCGTTTAACAAGTTAAGTTCTTATCTGGATAGTTTTGCAATTAAGATGATCCCTTTCAGTAACTTTATGTAGAAATGGTTAAGTGATCACATGATCACATGTGCATAAAGGTTATATTGAAGCAGGCCATGATTGATGTCAAGCCCCAAGATAACAGGATTTCTATGATAATTTTGGGTCATCATTTCTCCACTTTCCAAAGTGCTTGTGTGTAGCTTGAAAGAGTCAAAAAATATTTTTTCTAGATCTAAGCATTTCCTGAAAGTATTTTTTCTCTGGATTTTTGAAACAGGACAGAAAAATTCTTTTTATTTATTTATTTGCGACTAGGAGCATTTATTAAAGTACAGTTTCACACAAATTGAAGACGATAGGGGTATGCAGCTGTACTAGTTGTCAGCTGTTTTTAGAAGTGGTAATTTTGCCTTTCACATTCATTTAGAAAATAGAAAAGGGGATGCATTTTAACTCATATGAACACAACATTGTCCCTGTATTAGAGTCAAACAGATAAAAGAAACCCCTGACCATTTTCCTTTATTTAACATTGGCAGAAGAATATTTAACATAAACTAGCAAGTTAGGTTAAACAATATAATAAATGTATGAATACCTAATACGTAAACAGTGACTTCTTGGTATTTATTTCAGGAATGAAAAATTAAATTATTATTTTCATCTTTTGTTTGTTTGTCAAGACAAGGTTTCTCTGTGTTACCCTGGCTGTCTTGGCTCATTTATATATATAGGGTGACCTTGAACTCACAGAGATTCACTTGCCTGTCCACCACCACCACCTGGCTACAAACTTAACACAAGATTTAATTTACCAAGTAGCAGTAGATGTTCCCCTTTTTAAAATTCCTTCACTATCTGAGGGGATAGTATGTACCAAAGCACCTGTCCGAAGATCTGAGGACAGCCTGCCAGACTCGGCTCTCTCTTCCTACCCTGTGGATGTTGGGAATTGAACTCATTGTCTGGCTTGGCAGAAAGTACTCTTGCATTGAGCCATCATAGTGGTCCCACAATATTTTTTAAAAATCATGGCAGGAGACAAGCGAAAGATACAAAGAAACCCGGCCTTTATTTTTTTTTTATTTTTCGAGACAGGGTTTCTCCGTAGCTTTTTGGTTCCTGTCCTGGAACTAGCTCTTGTAGACCAGGCTGGCCTCGAACTCACAGAGATCCGCCTGCCTCTGCCTCCCGAGTGCTGGGAATAAAGGCGTGCCCGGCAGAAACCCGGTCTTGAAACCACCCACACAAAATCAGAGCAGGAAAAGATTTGGGGCTTTTGAGCCATTTAGGTCTGTTGGAATGATTTAACCGTTTATTTGTTTTGTTTTTTGAGACAGGGTTTCTCTGTTGCTTTGGAGCCTGTCCGGGCATTAGCTCTGTAGACCAGGCTGGCCTCTAACTATCCTCCTGCCTCTGTCTCCCAAGTGCTGGGATTAAAAGCAGGTGAATCTCTGTGAGTTCAAGACCAGTCTGGTCTACAAAGCTGGTTCCAGGACCCCCTTCCAAAGCTAAAAAAATGAATGAATCAATCAATGAATCAATGCATGTTTTTTAGAAGGCTTTAGGGCTGATTAGTCCTTTCAGCACTTATTCTAGCCAATACAATAAAGGGAAAAGGGCATTCAAATTTAGTAGAAAGGACTAAAACTCTTTATTTATAGATAATGTAATCTTATATATATATATACAAGCCGAATGATTTCACAAAACTGATTAAACTGGATTGGCACTGTTACAACATCACCATTCAAAATTGTGTTTTTTATATATTAAAAGTCATAATAAAATAATAAAATTAATAATAAGATAGTTTTCTTTTTAAAAATTTTTTTATACATTTTTTATTGATATTTACTGAGCTCTACATTTTTCACTGCTCCCCTCCCTGCCTTTCTCCTCCTCCAAGGTCCTCATGCTCCCAATTTACTCAGGAGATCTTGTCTTTTTTTACTTTCTATTTCCCATGTAGATTAGATTTATATATGTCTCTCTTAGTGTCCGCACTGTTGTCTAAGTTCTCTAGGATTGTGGTTTGTAGGCTGGCTTTCTTTGGTTTACGTTTAAAAACCACCTATGAGTGAGTACATGTGATAATTTTCTTTCTGTGGGGAAGTACAGCAATCCAGTCCTGGGAGGATGACGAAGGACACAGTAATGGAGGTATGGATCACTCCAGGAAAAGAGCCAAAACCAGCTGAGTTCCTTGCTGAGGGCGAATGAAATACAGAATGGATAGTAGAGGAAGGGGAAGGCCACATGATCAGTTTCAAAACAATGATTATAATTGACATGAGTGTTTTTGTTATGTTTTGTTAAGAATTTGTTTGTAACTTCTTATGTGAGAATGGAGCATAAAAATGAGGTAGACTAATGTCTCAGGCAATAGCAACTTTATTCAGAATATCAGGCAGTTTATACTCTGAGAGTTAAGAAGAATCACATTACTAAGATGTTCAATCACAAGGAACAACATGCTTTTCCATAGAGACATATAAAGAAATAACAATAGTCAGCTGTAATGAATAAAGTAAAGTAAACTCATTCCTCTCTTCTATACCTAGGAGGGGCATGAAAACACATTTCAAGAACAAATGTGTGTTTTTAAAGAACAGGTCCCAAGTGCTCAGTTAATAATATTTCCTTCTTGGGTCTCTGAGGGAGTTGAAGACTAAGTAGTTATAGTTTCTCTTGTTTACCAGACTCAGAAAAGTAATGCACTAAAGAAATGTAAAGTATATAAGGTTTAGAGACATAAAAAGATAATTTTGAGTTGTTAATACAAGTTATAATAGAAAGTGAATTAGGTACAACACTTTGGACTCACCAAGATAGGATATAGATAATGGAGTATTTTCTCTGAATCTGTCACACACAAATGGACTAGGCATTGTTGATGTACTTATTGTCTGAATATATGTAATTATTGTACTTACTGCATATCGTTTTTCTTATATTAGTTATAGCCTTCTTTATTTTAGCCAAAAGTGGGAAATGTAATATTGTGTTTGTGTTTTAATAACTAAAGTTTGCCTGAAGGACCAGAGTGCCAAGCTAAACCACTAGAAGCTAGGCAGTAGTGGCACACACCTTTAATTTTAGAACTTGGGGGACAGATAGATCTTTGTTAGTTCTAGACCACTGTGGGCTACACGAAATTGATCCAGTATAAAAGAGAAACAGCTCACCCCAGCACTTGGGAGTCATACACCTTTAATCCCAGCACCAGGGTGGTAGAGAGAGGAGTGATATGGCTGGGCCGAGAGAAATATAAGGCAGGAGGAGACAGGATCTCAGTGTAGTCTGAAGAGCAGTGCAGTCTGAGACAGTCAGTCTGAGGAGCAGTGCAGTCGGAGGACAGGATCATCCCTTTGATATGAGCATTGGTAGAAGTAAGAACTAGTGACTGGCCACTCTGCTTCTCTGATCCTTCAGCTTCCACCCCCTGATAACTGACTCCGAGTTTTTATTACTAAGACCTATTAGAATTTGTGCTACAGTCTTATTTTCTTGGAGTTTTTTCATAAGAACTCAGAATTCTTTTACACTACTTCATTCTTAGACCTTGTTCCAACCGTTAATCATATTTGAGTTTGAGATACTACAAGACTGTCCCTCAAAGGGACTTTGCCACCTATATTAAAATCTATAATGTGTTCACAATTGTACATGGGATAGTCATATTAGGCATAATCATGACCTGGTTATTGTTTTCATTTGGAAATTATGACATAAGGAAATATGATTGTGTATAAAGTTGTGATGGCTATTCTTGGTTGTCAACTTGTCTACATCTGTAATTAACTAAAGCCCAAGTGGTTGGGTTCACCTGTAAGGGATTCTTTCTTTTTTCTTTTTTTAAGATTTATTTACTTATGTTAACAGTGTTCTGTACTGTGCACTAGACTCATTACAGATGGTTGTGAGCTACCATGTGGTTGCTGGGAATTGAACTCAGGTCCCTTGGAAGAGCAGCCAGCACTCTTAACCGCTGATTTTTTCCTAATTAAATCATTGGAAACAGGAAGATCGACACTAAATCCAGATTTTATAAGGTGGTAAGATCTGCCTTAAATCTGGGCCACACATTCTGGTGGTAACCTATATAAAGGACATAGAAGAAGGAAGCTCTTGCTCTTTGCCTGCTTGCCCTCACTCTCTTTGGAAAATTTATTTTTTTACATTAGAGCCATTTCTTTGGAATTCCATTGTATGCTAAAGACCATATCCAGCCTTGTAGATTGAACAACTACTGTATTCTTGATTTTCCGTTGGTAGACCGCTATTGTTGAACTAGCTAGACTTTCAGAGAGTAAAGGGATTCCATTTCTTTAAAATATTTTGTATGTTCACTGATGATACCAGAATCTATGTTCTTCTATAATGGCAGTTTCTATATACCGAATTGTGCATAAAGCACCTTTCTCAGTGAATGCTTTTTAACTATGATAAATGTATATAACTGGATCAAATCTTTTCTAGAATTGTCTATACCTATTTGAGTGAAAAACCATTTGAAGAATACCAAAACAGTCCACACTTCTGTCGATTTTTACAATGGAAATGGCTAGAAAGGTATGTTTTAATTTAATTCTGAATGAAAGTAACTTTTTACAATGCATACTATTCAATGTTCAGTTCAGTTTTCTACATGTCAAAATATTACTGAAAATCTTGAGTTGTATGTATTATTTTACATGGAAATCTTTAGTAGGTGGAATGTTATATAATTCCTTCTGATTCAGTGGACCCTGTTCTCTTTCTTTAAAATGGCAGTTAACTCTCATTGTACATTTAGGAAATGAAACATTTTGGCTTTATAGTAATGCAATGCAGTGGTTGAAACTCTGCAGTCTAAGCCTCTGTTCAGATTCTTGCTAGCTGTGAGGTATTAGGCAAGTGACTTAACCACTATGAGCTATAGATCCTTTTTAAAAAGAGACACTCATATACCTATTTTAGTTAGAGTTTCTATTGCTGTGAAGACGCTATGACCATTTCAACTCTTATAAAGGAAAACATTAAATTGGGGCTGACTTAAAGTCCAAAGGTCTGGTCTATTATCATCCTGGTGGGAAGCATAGCAACACATAGGCTAACATGATGCTTGAAAGGTAGAGTTCTACTTCTACATTCAGATCATCAGGCAGCAGAAAGAGAGTGACACTGGGCCTGTCTTGGGCTTCTGAAAACCCAAAGCCCACCCCCAGTGATATACTTCTCCAACAAGGCCACATCTACTACAATAAGGCCATACCTCCCAATAGTGCCACTCCCTATGAGTCTGTGGGGGCCGTTTTAATTCAAACCACCATATCTATGCTGCTTCACTCTTGCTGGGAAATGTATGTACAATGTGTAGACCAGTGTTTGGTGAACCAAAGAAATGCCACAAAAGCATCAGCTGCTATTAGTACTTTGTGATTATTATTTCTAAAATTAATAGTCGACACCCCCCCACACACACACACTTTTTGAGATTAGGTTTTATTATGTTGTCTGGTTGGCTTGGAACTTACTATGTAGACCGGGCTGGCCTTAAACAGAGATCTGTTTTCCGCTGCCTTCTGAGTACTACAATTAAAGATATGTGCCACCATCCCCAGCATACATGCATATATATGCATGTTACATTTTGAGGTACTTTACTTAAAGGAAAGTGTGATATGTTTATGTAGTTTTCCTCAGCAGCCTTTTGACAGGTTGTAAAGTATGCCAAAAATTGATCCATGAAGTGTAGACATACATACTTCCTAGAATGGGCTGCTTGTGTATTCATCTTAAATTAGAATAACCAATCTGTTGTATATTTTGTGTCAATGATTTTAGTAAATTTTAAATGTGCTTGTTTCTCTTAGTAAAAAATTGAGAGTTGTGAGTCCTGATCATAGACATCTTTGTCTCGGGCACTGTTTCAGGCAACATGGGCCAACAGATAGGACTAACACAAGCTCTAAATAGGCTTTTCTATTTTAAAATAACAGTGCAGTGTGAGATCTGAAACTTTTTTTTCAATTGGTTAGGCAGCCAGTAACAAAGAAAACGTTCAGACACTACAGAGTACTAGGAAAAGGCGGGTTTGGAGAGGTAAGTAACCTGTGCCAGTTCCGGCAGTACTTCTGTTAGAAAGGTAGCCAAGTCCTCTACACACATGAGCTCAGGTAATGTATCAACTTTATCTGTATACTTATCTTCTTATGGTTCTTTTTGAGAATAGTTTCAGGCAACTTGATATGAAGGTGAATTTTTGAGCTTTTAAAACAATAACAACAAAAACTTTATCTTTGTGACTTCACTTTCCATTTTCCATTCTGGCAGAGTTATGTTTCATGCTTGATATTTAAGTTAAGCAGACTGAAAAACTTGTGAAATTTCTGTTATTCAGGACTAGCTCTAAAATTTATGTTGCATAGAGTGTTGTTTATTTTTGAAGAGATGATGTCTCACCCAAGTTGTCTCTTAACTCCTAGGTTTAATAACTCCTGCCACCTCAGCAAACTGGGACTACAAATACATGCCACTGTAGCTAATCAGAGGACATTGGCAAATATGCTTATTTAACTCATTTGTGTTTAGACATTGTCCTACTTTGCTTTCTGCTGCCTTGATTAAAACACCATGACCAAAAGAATCTTAGGGAGGAAAGGGTTTGTTTGTCTAACACTTTTAGTGCTCAGACTATCATCAGGGAATGCCACAGCATGAATTCAAAGCAGGAATTTGAAGCAGCACCATGGATGAATGATGTTACTGTCTTCTTCCTCTAGGTTGTGCTCAGCCAGTTTTCTTATTAAGCCCAGGGCCATCTGCCCAGGGGTGTGACTGCCTGTAGTAGCTGCGCCCTCTTCTATCAGTTAACTATCAAGGTAACCCACAGACATGCCCCAAGGCAGTCTGGTGGAGGCTATTCATCAATCGAAATTTCCTATTCCAAATTCTAGGTTGCATCAAGCTGATAGTAAAAACAAACCAGTATAGGTACAGATGTACCTTATACCTGCATTAAAAGGTGTTCAGGGCCTCTTTTGATGCCTTTTGTGCCTGTAATTGGGAGTTAGGAAGGTAACAAGTTTTAGACTAGCTTGGATTATATAGTGAGACCCTGTCTGAAAAAAAAAAAGTGTCCAGATCTAGGGACATAGAAAATGGTATAGCCCTAGCTTCCCATATACAAATCCTTAAGTATGATACTCAACACCTTTTAAAAAAGTATTTTAGCCGGGCGGTGGTGGCGCACGCCTTTAATCCCAGCACTCAGGAGGCAGAGGCAGGCGGATATCTGTGAGTTCGAGACCAGCCTGGTCTAGTTCCAGAGCTAGTTCCAGGACAGGCTCCAAAAACCACAGAGAAACCCTGTCTCGAAAAACCAAAAAAAAAAAAAAGTATTTTAAAATGTGTGAATTCAGAAAATCCTAGGGAAACTTCACATAGATTCCTGAGGGATAGGTTTTAAACATGAGAGCTGTATTGGATAGATATCACCTATAGCAGTTAGAGAGTAGTGCATCTAGGTGTTGGTGTTGGCACTTGTCTTTAATCCTAGCACGTGGGAGGCAGAGGCAGGCTGATCTCTGTGAGTTCAAGGCCAGCCTGATCTACAAAGCAAGTGCTAGGATAGGCTCCAAAGCTACACAGAAAAACCCTGTCTCAAAAAAATAAATAAAAATAATAGGGGCTGGAGAGATGGCTCAGAGGTTAAGGGCACTGGCTATTTATATCTTCCAGAGTTCCTGAGTTCAATTCCCAGCAACCACTTGGTGGCTCACAACCATCTGTAATGAGATCTGATGCCCTCTTCTCTCTCGTCAGACAGAACACTGTATATATAAATAAATAAATCTAAAAAAAATAGAGAATAATGCACAGTTCTGATGTGATAATTTAAAGGGACATTAATTGTTCTGTTAATTATCTGGAGTAGTCATGTTCAGCCTATGAATTTCCAATTCCCCACGAGACAGGCAAGCCATTAGGAACTAGCACTTTCTAAAATCAGAAACAAGTTACATTGCCCAGATGTGATTTACATCATATATGTGTTTAAGTTCTACTTTAAAACAAAAGCAGAATCCACCAGCATTGCTTCAAAATTAATTTAATTCAGAGTTGTGCTCAAGTGAGCTCTGTCAGCCATTTGCATGTTGAGGTGAAGGAAGTGGGTCGGAACTGCCATCACTGTGTTAGAGGAGTATCCTGATACAGCTGGAGACTTTCATAATTTATGGGGTTGCATTTGGCCAATTCACCCAAAACTGTTGTAAGCCCTTCATGGGGATGGTCTGTAAGGAATCATTCCTCTGTGAAATGTGTCGTAGACCAGAGACTTTTCTCTCTTCAGCTCATGCTGTCATTCTCGATCTCCAGGAACAAAGCATTAGATTTTGGCAGGGGGCAGATGAGAAGATGTTGTAGGGTATCATGTTAATAAGATATGAAATTCTAAGTTATAATCACACATATGATTTAATCTTGATTCAGTAGGATCACATCAGGAAATTTTAATCATTGTGAAAGACTTGTTATAGATTATATTTGAATACATTTTCTTGGATTTTCAAACAAATGATTAGCTGGATGAATTTACTGTGGTAGCTCCTTGCAGACTTTTTTGTGTATGTTAGGCTCTAAGTCAAGGCCCAGAGGACAATGAACAGTCTGTTTCTACTCTGAATGTCTGTCAGAGGGAGCCAGTACAGGGACAGTTGCAGTTCTTATCTCAGTGAGCTTGGAAGGCAAAAATAATTTACTTATTTTGCCAACAGTAATTCTCTTGCTTATGCTTTAAGTGTTGTAAAGTCAATCTTCAACTTCCTGAGGCAAGCACAGCGGAAAGCATTTGGGCTCATGACTGGTTCCAAAGGTAGCACAGTGTGGTAAGACCAGCATGTACTTCATGTACTTCAGAGCTATGCAAGCCCAGGGTCAAGCAAGTCCTGCTTCTGCTTGCCATCAGTTATATGATCTTGGATCACCATCTTGACTTCATCTTTGGCAGGAGGATGATGGTCCCTGCTTTAGCTTTCTGAGGACATGGAGACATTGTGCCTAGCCATGAACTTTTAATTAAAAAAAATTTCAGAATTATTCAAATTTTCTAAAACTTTTGCTTTTCTAAGAATCTAAAGACATATCAAGATATACTTAAATAGACTCAGCATGATCACATACGAAAACAAGTTCCATTGTGTCTTGATAAAGCACACTGTTTTGTTCACTTTACTCACAGCTGCTACTATTGACAAGAAACTGGGAGTCAGGAAAATCCAGTGGAAAACTTACAGTTATTAATACCCAAATGGCCTTGGCTCATCACATGCTTTGTCCAGCCTTTACCAGAAAATATTATCAGAGAGAAAATAGTTTACTTCATATACCCTAAAAATGTCAGGTATATATAAGCCTTTTTCTCCCCTTTAAACTAGGTTTGTGCCTGTCAAGTACGAGCCACAGGAAAAATGTATGCCTGCAAAAAACTAGAAAAAAAAAGAATAAAGAAGAGGAAAAGTGAAACTATGGCTCTGAATGAAAAAAGAATCTTAGAAAAATTGCATAGTAGATTTGTAGTAAGTATCTTTTTTTTTTTTTTTTTTTGGTTTTTTGGTTTTTCAAGACAGGGTTTCTCTGTGGTTTTGGAGCCTGTTCTGGAACTAGCTCTTGTAGACCAGGCTGGTCTCGAACTCACAGAGATCCACCTGCCTCTGCCTCCCGAGTGCTGGGATTAAAGGAGTGCGCCACCACCGCCCGGCTTAAGTATCTCATTTTAGTCATGGTATCATTTACTTTTTTGTTGCTGTGATAATATGCTTGTCCAGGGCTGGGTGGTGGTGATGCACACCTTTGATCCCAGCAATTGGGAGGCAGAGGCAGGGGGATCTCTGTGAGTTCGAGGCCAGCCTGGTCTATAGAGTGAGTTCCAGGACAGTCAGGGCTGTACTGTCTTGAAAAACAAAACAAACGAACAAATAAATTCATGTATAAAGCAAGTTAAGTAAGGAAGGGCTTATTTTGGCTCACAGTTTGAGAAAGAGATACAGTCTATCATGGTAGACAAGGCATAGCATCTAGAGTATACAGTGGCTGGTCATACTACATCTGCATTAGGAAACAGAGATGTGAATGCTGGTGTCAGCTTGTTTTCTCCCTTTATTCAGTATCGGACCCCACGCCCTGGGATGGTATCTCTACTGTTTTCGATAGGTTTTCTCTCAGCTGAACCTTTCTGGAAACATCCTTCCAGATACTGAGGTTTGTTCCAAGGTGATTCTAAATCCTGTCAAGGTGACAAAACTTAACTATCACAGTCTTCCCTTATGTGTTGTTTGAGTCATAGCATTTTGGTCAGCAGTCCTGCTGGAAACTCTTATTCAAGTAATGGACTCAGGTGCCGTGTTTCTTAAGAGTTTCTGTGGAGTTCTGCTGTTCCCTATTGGAAATAATTTCATTTTGTAATGATGTCCCTCTTATTCTAGCGTGCAAGCATAGGGCAATGCCAATCCTACTGTTGATTTGTGACTTGTTGCCAGTTTTATGCTGTCCACCATCCCATGCTGTCAGGTCTTCTTCACACTCTGATGATTCCTGATGAGTGCTTTTTCTTCCCCTTGTGACAACCAAGCTCATGTGATTGCTGCCTCTCATTGGTCAGCCCTGGCTCATCAGCATGGTGACTTTGAGGTACTTGAAGGTTCTTTTTCTAGTCCTTCTAAAGTGGTCTTCTTCTTCTCTCTGACCTCAGTCTCTTTTCCATTGTTTTTCTTTCTATTTTCTGCACCTGAAGTGTTTGCTATTAGACCTTCAACTACCATGCTCCAATTGTAGGATCTTTCAAATTTCCTGCTCACTTTTGCAGATGAGAGCTGAAGATGGGGTAGAGTGGTATGAAATAGGAGTGATCCCAGATTGTAGGATATATGTTGTATAGTGTGGTTTCTCTACTCCTACTTAGATATTCCTTAGAGCGTCTTTTGAAGTATAAAGACTGGTTAAGACAAAAGATGAGCTAGGTGGTGGTGGTGCATGCCTTTAATCCCAGCACTCAGTCGGTAGAGGCAGGTGGATCTTGGTGAGTTTCAGGCCAGCAGAGCTAGTTCTGGGACATATAGGGCTGTTAGATAGTAGAGAAACATTGTCTTGCTTCACTGTCTGGTATTTACAGGATAAAAAAGCAGAACCCTTTGGTGTCTTTTTTGCCACTGGTTCCTAGATCAAGGCTGGTATGATAAATGGTTCTCAGTATTATTTAATATGCATTAACTGTGTGTGGGATGGATATTCATTCACAGGAGGAGAGAGAGTAAGGGTCTTTGTTTCAGTTTAACTCTGGTCCGACATACGTCAGCTAATGAGTGTGGACAGTGGTATGCTCTGGATACCTCATCCCACTCTCCTCATTTCCAGCCCTCTGCAACTTTACTCTCCTAACGTTTAATAAAAATGTTGACCAAGTTGGACTTATTCATTTTATTATAAATGAAAATCAATATAATTTATTACATGACTAAAATAAAGGGAAAAACCATATAGCCACTTTAATAGTTGCACAGAAAGCCTTTTATTAAAATCTAGGTCCCATTTATGATTAAGAGCTTCTAAGCTAGACTAGAACGATGGCTCAGCCATCTTAAGTTTATAACCTAAGCTAAGCTTACAACTTAGCTAGCTCTAAGCAAACTAGTTTTACTTTCTAACACACATTATTTACCATGTGATGCTATTGGAATGCCCACCCTCATGTCTAGGCACCCATTCTCACTATCTCTACTTAATATTATTTCGGAAATTCTAGCCAGTACAACAAAATAAAGGAAAGTAATTAAGGTTAAATTAGGATTAGAATTAGAGCTAGAGTAAGAAGTAAAGGAGTAAAAGATTGTATTTTTTTTAAAATATTTATTTAATATACAATATTCTGTCTGTGTGTATGTCTGCAGGCCAGACGAGGGCACCAGACCTCATTCCAGATGGTTGTGAGCCACCATGTGGTTGCCGGGAATTGAACTCAGGACCTTTGGAAGAGCGGGCAATGCTCTTAACCACTGAGCCGTCTCTCCAGCCCCCCAAGATTGTATTTTTGAACAATGTAATTGTATGTGGAGATATTCCTAGACTTTGTAGATAGCCAACCTGGGGTTAACTAAATGACTAGAAGTGAATCAGCCACAGTTAGGAGGTGTGCGTGTGCATGTGTGTATATCTGTCTGTACATGTTAGTATATAATAAACACACACCTATATATTTTCTTTGTCTTTGCTTTTTTGAGACAGGAGTCCTCTGTGTAGCCTTAGAGGCTATCCTGAAACTCATTCTGTAGACAAGACTGACCTCAAACTCAAGGAGATCCACCTGCCTCTGCCTTCCTAGTGCTGGGATTAAAGGTGTGCACTGCCAACTCCTGTCTCCTATGTGCACTCAGAGGTCAGAGGAGGATGTCAAGTATCCTACTCTATGACCCTTCACCTTCTTTTCTTTTCTTTTTAAAGATTTGTTTATTTATTAAGTATTCAGTGATCTGCCTGCATACGTCCTTGCAGGCCAGAAGAGGGCACCAGATCTCATTACAGATGGTTGTGAGCCACTATGTAATTGCTGGGAATTGAACTCAGGACCTTTGTAAGTACAGCCAGTGCCCTTAACCTCTGAGCCATCTCTCCAGCCCCCTTCACCTTATTTTCTTGAGACAGAGTCTTTGACTGAACCTGGAATTTGCTGGTTTATTTATTGTTTGTTTTTTTCCAGCTAGGCTAGCTGGCCAGCAAGCCTCATCAATCCTTCTTTCTCCCCTCTACCCCAGGACTGGGATTTCAGGTATTCATAGCCATGCCCAGCTCTTTTTTTTTCTTTTTAAACTGGGGTCAAAACATAGGTCCTCAAGTCAACACAGCCAGCACTCTTATCCATTGAGCCATCTCCTTAGCCTGTAAATGAAAAGAATATTAATAACATTTATAATAGCACCAAGAGTCATCACAGTCTAGGCAAAAGTCCTACATAATATGTAGGACTTCTACACTTAGAACTGTAAGATTCTATTATAAGAAATTAAAGAATGCCTTAACAGAGAGGGACCATGATCCTAGACTGGGTAATTCAATGTTGTGAAGATGCTGGCTCTTCTCAGTTGATCTAGCAATTAAATGAGTTAAGTATAATCACAACCCAAACCCTAACAGGGTGAGTTCATGTGTGCATGTGTACATTTGTGTTTAAACTGTCATATAAGACAATAGAACGGTGAAGAAAAACTTACCAGGGTCTGGGAATGTGGCTCTGTGGAAGAGTACTAGCCTGGCAGATGTGAGGCACTAGGTCCAACCAATAGGAAGACAACCAAGAGGAAAAGAAATATTATTTTTGACCAGGTACACCTATAATCCTAACTAGTCAGAAAACTGAGGCAGGAGGATCACTTGCTCCTAGGAGCTCAATGCCAATCTGGGCAAATCTCATTTCTTCAAAAAGCAAAACAAAACAAAAAGCATAAAGGCATTTCACAAAAAGGCTGTGACTGACTAATAAATTAATGAAAAGGTATGGGGAGTATTCATTGCAAATTAAAACCAGAATTACAGTTCAAGGCTAGCCTTGGCTATATAATGAGTCAGAGACCAACCTAGGTTACATAGTGCAACCAGTCTTCCAAAATTAAGGATTTGGGATATGGTTCAGCATCACAAAACAGCAAAATGACACAATCATCAGCCATTATACCCTGACCATCCTGGCTCAGACCAAAAAGATCAACATCACCAAATGTTGGAGGAGTGTGGAACAACAAGATCTTGCCAGAACTGCTGAATGCAGGTGCTCCAGAAATTCTTAGTGTCACACAATCAGACCATAGTGTGAAGAAGTCACTTTCCATGCAGAGTTGCACTGAGCTATTTGCTAAGTAAAGGCCCAGAGACATGGTGTGTGGTGTGTAGTTCTCTGAAGCACATAGTGTTTGGGTGTTCTATTACAAACTTAACAGATAATTCAGATTATTGTTAGCAAATACAGTAAGTTAAGACTGAACAAGCATATTTTTTTATGTGTGTATCTTTTTTTATGATGCTGTTGTTTTTAGGTTAGTTTAGCCTACACTTATGAAACCAAGGATGCCTTGTGTTTGGTGCTAACCATTATGAATGGAGGGGATTTGAAGTACCACATTTACAATCTGGGCAACCCTGGCTTTGAGGAGCCGAGAGCCGTGTTCTATGCTGCAGAGCTGTGCTGTGGCTTGGAAGATTTACAGAGGGAAAGAATTGTATACAGGTAAGACAGAGCCTGTGGGTGTTGAAACCTTCCACTGCGAGCTTCCTCTGGCTTATACTGGCTGTCATGGGATGGAAAAGGGAAAACAGGGAGGCCTTGGGTGGCATTCTGAGGGGTTGAGGTTGTCGCTTAAACTGTAGGACACAGCCAATCAGAAGTGTACCTTGGTTTTCTTCTTAGTTTATCTTTACTCTTCTAAGAAATTGTTCTTTTGAGGCAGAACCTTTGTTCTTAAGCTGATCAGATAGCCAGTGCTATTGTGTAAGCATGAGAAAGCCTATCTCTAGAGTTCTGAGATATTTGACAACTCATAATATTCATAATATTCCAAGAAAACAACATGATCAAGTATATTAAAAATGTTTTCCTGCCAGGTGTTGGTGGTACATGCCCTTAATCCCAGCACTCTGGAGGTAGAGGCAGGCGGATCTCTGTGAATTCAAGGCCAGCTTGGTCTACAGAGTGAGTTCCAGGATAGCCGAGTCTGCACAGAAAAACCATGTCTCAGGAAAAAAGGTTTTCTTTTCATTTTAGAATTCATTAAGAAAACCAGATTAAGCTTTGTAGTTAGAATTAGCTTAGTACAATCAGTATATTTAAAATGTGAAAATAGTTCATCTCTCTTAGATACTGGAGTTGTTATAAAATGAATCTCATATTGATCACTCTCCCTGGGGACTTTTATTTTCTCTTCCAGAGATTTACTTGCCAATCAATCCATAAGAAGAGTTTCTTTCCTTTTAAAAAATGTTTTTGTGCATATGTTTGTGCATGTGTGCATGTTTGCAGAAGCACATTTGTTGAAGGTGAAGGACATCTGTGGGTGTCAGTTTTCACCTTTCAGTTTGTTTGAAATAGGGGCTTGCTGTGATAGCTGGCCTCTGAGTTTCTGGGGATTCTCTTGTCTCAGCTTCTCATCTCACCAGGGGCATAGATGCTACATCACCTGACTTTACATGGGTTCTGAGTACTCAAACGCAAGCACTCATGCACAGCAAGTGTGTTTATCCACTGAGCCATTTCTGTAACCTCCTAATGAGAATTCCTAGTCTTGTGCCTTTTTTAAACTATAAAATTCCAGAGGGATCTATGTATCTTTTGCTCTCATCTTCATTCAGTTGGTCGTCGCTTTATTCTAGCTTATCTCCATCAGTCTCTATTTTCCATGGTAAGCAGCTTAGTCCATGTCTTTTTCTTGTCAGCAAACTGACAGAGACTTGAATAGATTACCATACTGCCTATGTTGACCTAGTGCATTTTCCAGAAGATTCTGATAAGACATGTTTGAATGTAGATCTGACCCCATTTCATCTTCCTCTGGTATGGGCCCCTTGTTCACCAGGTGTTCAGACCCTTAAGTACTTAGTGTCTTACTAACTTCTCCATCCTTGATTCCTGATGGCCCACATCAGTCTCCTCAGCCCTTGTTATGTAAGTGTATTTGTGGTTTCCAGAACATCTAAGAAGTCTTTATAACTCTAGTCTTGGCAATAAGCTCTTCTGTGGATGCCTTCTTTACTTTAACTTCTCTTCCCATCGATAAGAAAACTAATGCTTATTTTTCCCAAGTTATTCCAGTAATGTCCCTGTCGTAGTACTGTTTTATTGCTGTGAATAGACATAATGCTCAAGGTAACTCTTATAAAGAAAAGCACCTAACTGGGGGCTTCCTTACAGTTTCAGAGGTTTAGTCCATTATCATCATAGTGGGGAGCATGGCGCTCTGTAGACTGGAGCTGGAACAGTAACTGAGAGCTACAGTCTGATCTGTAGGCAGAGAGACTAGGTCTGACATGGGCTTTTGAAACTGCAAAGCCCACCCTCAGTGACATACTTCCTCCAACAAGGCCATAACTTCTAATCCTTCTTTCAAAAAGTTCCATTCTCTGGTGACTAAGCATTCAAATATATGAATCTATCTGTAGGGGTAATTCTTGTTCAAACCACCATATCCTCTCCCTAGCAGTATGAGTGCTGTCCCTCCAGCATCCCTATAGTGCTCTGGGGGAGGGGGGGCAACTCTTAGTGTAGAGTTGGTCACATCAGACTATGAGTTTCTCAAGAGTCCCTGATCTTGTTCTTGCTGCAATGATTGACCTTCAGTTTTTTTCTGTTGTCTCCCACAGACCAGACACCACTGATAAAGCCTTACCTTCAGTTATTGAGAAAGGGTGGGATTACTTCTCTGACCATGATTCTTTAGAGGCAAAGGTGCTACATCCTAATAGAGCTTAACATTTTTGCTGTTATTTAGAGGTAGACTCAGGTCACACTGATTTGATTCTGGTTACTCCTAGAGTAAAAAGGGATTTCAGCTGAGATCTGCCTGCTTGCTTTCAACCTCATGGTGAATTCTTGGGTTGTCTGGAGGAGTCTTCATTTTCTTAATCCAGTGGCTACTTGGATTTCAGGTTGCACCACAGAGAAGGTATGATTGGGGCTTTCCATGTGAACTGGTCTGTGTCTCCCTCCCTCTGTATCCACAGTGGTGCCCTGAGTGTATTGTGAACGAATGACTTTGAGCTTCTAAAAGCAGCCCTCTCTTCTGTTTAAACACTGGCATACCTCAAGGAAAAGGTGTTGGTTTATTTTTAATGTCTTTTTTCTGTTTTCATAGATTGCCACTTAGTAACTCTTACTAAGCCATGTGCCAGAGAGATGAGGTTTTGTTTTATTTGAGATAGAATCTTACTATGTAGCCTTGATTGCCATGGAACTTGCTATGTAGACCAGGCTGGCTTTAAATTCATAGAGATCTTCCTGTCTCCACCTCTGCTAGGATTAAAGGTGTTCAGCACCACTAGACATAGACTTTATTAAAACCATAAACTAGAGAGACAATATGGGTTAAAATGTTTGAATTTTCAGCATTCTGAAAATCAGCAAAAATGAACTGTGTGAATAACATGGCAGGGCTTCAATTTATTCTTTGCAGCCAGAATTGAGAACCTAAGTGAGGTGGCATAGTGACAGGATGTTTTGTTTCAAGCAGGTATTGTGGCATGCTTGAGTCTTGCCAAGGTGAGCCTTGTTCTTTCCATGCATTTGCCTGGGGTCAACTACTGAGAATTTGTTTAACAGACCTCCTTTTAATAAAGCTGGGTAGTGGGAGGAAAAGGGTACCCTCACCAGGATGGAAGGACTTCTGTGAGCATCCTGTTGGAGCCAATGTAACAGTCCACTGAAACCCATGTGTTTGGAAGTAAACAGACAGAAGTAATTGAGGGCCTTCTAGGTCCTATGCTATGTCTGTTGATTTTTATCTTATTTATGTAGATGAAAGGTAAGGATATTAGGAGAACGCATAGAGTCATAGAGCCTTTTCACTCATGTTTTACAGGAATATTCCATCTTTTTCTTGTTCCTCTTTCCAGAGCCCTCTTTTGCTTGTTCAGATAGAATTTCCAAAGCAAGAAGTCACCAAAGGTACCTGGTTCAGGATGGTTCAGGAGTGCTGTCAGGTAGTGAGGCTGTTGTAATACTCCATAGGTACAAGCAATGAACTACCCAAGCACACAAGTGAAAAACAGGATCTTGGCAATAAAAACTTGCTTGTGTGATCTTTGAACTGTCATGGTTGGTTTAATACCTCAGATACCTCTGCCTTATAACATACTATTTATTTAAAATGTTTGACAAAAACAAAAACAAGTGAACGAAGTCAATATATATATTGGGAGAGTTTTGATAGAAGAGAAATGTATTCTGTAATTTTCCTTCCTTCCTTTTTTTTGAGACAGGGTTTCTCTGTGCAACCCTGGTTGTCTTGTAACTTGCTCTGTAGAGACAGAGATTTACTTTCCTCTGCCTCCCAAGTGTTGGGATTAAAGGCATGTGCTACCACCACCTAGCTACAAAAACATTTCTTGATTTAAGAAGTAAACTTTCAGGAGGTCTCATTTATTAATTGTTGCTCTCAGTGTCTGTGCTACTGGTGTTATATTTAGGAAGTGGTCTCCTGTGCCCAGGTATTCAAGACTATTTCCTACTTTCTCTTCTATCAGGTTCAGTGTGGTTGGATTTATGTTGAGGTTAATTCATTTGGACTTGAGTTTTGTGCATGGTGATAGATATGGATCTATTTGCATTCTTCTACATGTTGACATCCAGTTATGTCAGTACCATTTATTGAAGATGTTTTCTTTTTTTCATTGTATAATTTTAGCTTCTTTGTCAAAAAATCAGGTGTTCATAGTGTGTGGATTAATATAAGGGTTCTCGATTTTATTCCATTGATCCACCTATCTTTTTTTTTTTTTTGCCAATACCAAGCTGTTTTCATTACTGTAATTCTATAATAGAGCTTGTGATGCCTCCAGAAGTTCCTTTATTGTTTTTGCTATCCTGCGATTTTGTTTTTCCATAAGAATTTGAGTATATTCTTTCAAGGTCTATCAAGAATTGTGCTGGGATTTTGATGGGGATTGCATTGAATTTGTAGGTTGCTTTTGGTATGGTTGCCATTTTTACTGTGTTGATCCTACCTATCCAAGAATATGGGAGATATTTGCATTTTCTGATATCTTCAATTTCTTTCTTCAAAGGCTTAAAGTTCTTGTCATACAAGCCTTTCACTTCTTTGGTTAGTGTTACCCCAAGATATTTTATGTTATTTGTGGCTATTGTAAATGGTGATGTTTCTCCAATTTCTTTCTCAGCTCCTTTATCATTTGTATATAGGAGGCCTACTTTTTTAGTTGATTTTTGTATCCTGCCACATTACTGAGCGTGTTTATCAGCACTGAAACTGAGAAGTTTCTATAAAGCAAAGGACACAGTCACTATGACAAAAACGGCAGCCTACAGAATGGGAAAAAAATCTTCACTAACACCACATCTGACTGAGGACTGATCTCCAAAATATATAAAGAAATGAAGAAATTAAACATCAAATTACCAAATAATCCAATCAAAAAATGGGGTACAGATCTAAACAGAGAATTCTCAACAAAAGAATTGCAAATGGCCAAAAGACACTTAAGGAATTGCTCAACATCAGA